GAGGAGAGGAGAGGAGGAAACTGATTTCTATTCAAGGAATTAAGACTGTCACCTACATGGCTGATCCTAATCTGCACTGCCACATACAGACTGGGAGAAGGAAGCCCACCATAGCAATAAAATGATTAAAAAAAATACTTTCTAGGTAAAGCATTTAGTAATGGAGCAGAAAGTTATCAACTTGATATTTGTCTGATTTACTTATAGCATCTTGAATCGATAATTGCATAGTATGTCATTTATTGTTTGTCCCTCTCAAATAAATTTCCAATAAATATGAAGTTGGCCATGTATCAGGTAATTCTACTCATCACAACTGTGCTCACCTAGTTAGTCTTGACTTCAGCTGTTTAACTGAAATACTATTATTGTACATTTCACAATACAGAATGAATTAATCCAGAATGAATTAGCTAAAAATAGGGTGAGGAAATGGGAGGTTCAGAGAGATTAAGTCAAGTTATTCAGATGCCAGAGCAGGCACAATGAACATGGGCCCTCTGTCTGGGAAGGCTGCCCACATCTACAGTCTGCGAGCTCTTGGAGTCTCTCCATCACTGTGACCAAGCTGACGCATACTTCATACCTACTTAACCTGGTGATTTAACAAAGCTAAGCATTTATAAGGTACTATATGATTTTTCTGTTTCTTCCCCCATGGTATAACCCCTGTTTTCACTGTATTTGATTCCAGTGCCCTGCATCATGTATATACATTTTTCTAATTTGGGGAGTGGAAGGGAAATTAACAAAATGCTGAAATAAGGATACAGGTTGACCCATTGTAACAATGAGATGTACAAGACACTATGTTGAAAACGAACTTTACAACTTGGTGGGTGGGGGAGGAGTCGGGGAGATGGGGAGGGAAGGGATGGTAGAAAAAGAACAAAGGAGTGGGTAACAATGCACGATAGGAAATGTACTCATTACCTTACTCATGTAACTGTAACCCCTCTGTACAGTACCTTTACAATCAAAAATATATACAAAAAAAACCCAACAAAGCTAAGTACAACTTAAGATACTTTAAAATCTCAAAAATATACATGTTGGGCTGGGAAGTTGGCTCAGTGGTAGAGCGCTTGCTTTGCATGCATGAGGCCCTGGATTTGATTCCTCAGTACCACATAAGCAGAAAAAAGCCAGAAGTGGCACTGTGGCTCAAGTGGTAGGGCACTAGCCTTGAGCTGAAGAGCTGAAAGACAGTGCTCAGGCTCAGAGTTCAGCTCCCATGAACATCAAATACATGCGTGCGCGTGCGTGCATGTAAACACGCACACACACACACACACATACACGTTGCTGGGCTCATGCCTGTAATCCTAGCTACTCAGGAGGCTGAGATCTGAGGATCTCAGGTTGAATCCAGTCTAGGCAAGAAAGTCTGTGAAACTCTTATCTATAATTAACAAGAAAAAGCCAAAAGTTGAAGCTGTGGCTCAAATAGTAGAGTGCTAGCCTTGAGCAAAAAAACTCACAGGCAGTGTTCAGGCCCTGAGTTCAAGCCCCATGAACTATGCAAGAATAAATAAAATTTAAAAATATATGTGGGTGTATGTATGTATATGTATATGTGTATAGATAGATAGATAGATAGATAGATAGATAGATAGATAGATAGATAGAGATATATATGGTGCTTCCTGGTAAGCATGTTGAAATCACTGTACTTACTCTTATTTCTCTATAAAGACATATTTATCTTAGTTTTTCCTTCCATTATGGATGCCACCTCGGTAGCACGTAGCCATTTAAAAAATGAGATTGCACATAGGAAGAGTCCACTGTCAAGCTTAGACTGACTTGGTATGAAAAGGAGCACACGGGCTCTGAAAAAAGCCACTGAACAGGACTTGGTCCAGAAGGAGCACCCCTCACTCTGGACAGCACTGAGTACCCTGACAGGCCCAGAATGTACTTTTAGAGAACTACTGCAACTCAAAACACCTTACTTGGCAGAAGATAACTAACAAGCAACCTTAATTTATCATTCTCCGGTAGTAACTGGAAGTTCTAAATAAAGCAATTATGAACCATGGAACAGCACTTTCAGAATTATTTACTTGCAACATTCCAGAGTCTAAGAAAATGGTTCTTTTTTCTTCTGCAGTGATTATGGTACAAGAAAATTTGACATCAGGGCAAGAAGCAAGCTTTGCTCTTTTTAAACAGCCTCAGGCAATTGCCATGTTCAGAGGTCTGTGAAATCCTGAACCCAGAGCAAATTATTTCATTACTTAAGAGCCCTGAGGCATGCTTAAAAATTAAGTTTTATAAATCTTTAAATTATAACTAGAATTAGCAACAACACTATTTTTACAATAGGGAGAAATCAACTCCTAAAATGCTCAATGTTATTTCAGATCCTCGGGGTTTGCACATGCCACATAAAATAGCTTTTGGAAAGGACAGGGATTCTCCAAAGAAAATGATCTAACTCCGATCATTGACATACATACATACGTATATATATATATATATATATATATATATATATATATATATACATATATATATATATACACACATATATATACATATACATATACACATACACACACACACACACACACACACACACACACACACATACACAGAGAGAGAGTGCTTGGAAATATTGGCTAAAGTAATTCAAATAGTCTGTGTTGGCACAAGTTCGCTAACATAATCAGGACCCAAACTCAATGAGATTTATCTCAGGTATGCAAAAATTCTTTAATAACTCATTTATCGCTATCTATTGGCCTTCAAAAATTCCAAATTGCAACCAAAAAGTATTATCTACTGAAAAGGCCTCTCCTGTTTTCTAGGCCTTGGGATGCCTATTCAATGCTGAACAGAACAAAGGTCTGACATATATCTGTACGTATGTCTAGTGGTTATCTTGCACACAAGCTTTAAAAATAAATAAATGTGTTAAAAGATACAGTAGTTGATTCCTAGAATTACAACAGCGAGAATCAGCTTAATGGAAACATTCCAAAGCAGAAAAATACCCTAGCCAAAAAAGAAAAAAAAAATCACCTCAATCTTATTGCTATCATCATCATCATCATCATCACTGGTCTAGAAGATTATAAATAGAAAAGTTACAAGGAATTTTCAACCAATTCATTCAGCAAAGATTTACTTACTTCTAATGTGTCACAAAGCTTAAAGACTCTCAGATATCTCTCTACTTACTCAGATCTTTCTGACAACCACTTGCTCGGGGTTGTTATTAATCACTGTGAAAGTTGGCCCTGAAATTGAAGAGCCTTACTGTTTTGAAAGACTATGCTTTGATCATATAATGCTTTCAAGAAAATAGGATAATAATAACAACAATCAGCCTGACTTCTGAACAGTCAGAAGACTCTTTGTTAAGACTCATATCAATTTAATGTAGATGTCCAGGCAACACTGCTTTTCCTTGTCTACTTTATCCATACTGTCTACCACTTTAGGCAGTCCCAAAGGATGAGACTGTAGTTGGGGTTTTAGCTATTTCTAGCATCAAGATAATGAAGCCAAAGCTCTCAGTTCAGTCTTCACAAGGGACTTGGCATTTGTTATTGTGTATATTTAAAGCCAACAAATGATCTGTGTGAATCTACCCTCACAAAAGACTCTTACAATGTGAAAGCATAAAAACACTTTGGATGAGAGACAGCTTCATGACTGAGGACGTAAAGAACTCACTTCACACCCCACAGGGAACTTCCTATTAGATGAGACAGTCTCACAACCCAAGTGGGAAACTTCTCAGTGACCTGGAAGATTGAACTCTCCTCCCAATTATTTCAGGTTTCAGGCTATCAAAACTCAAAATAAAAAAAAAAATTTTATTCATTCCCAAGCTCGCTCACCCACAGATGCCAACATTCCATATTGACAACCTACTGGACTTTGTTTCCACTGTCAGCAAAGAGGGTATGGCTCAAACTACTGGTCTGTCCCAGTGGGATAAATCCAATGGGAATCTTACTGAAGGTAGCCTGAGGAAACAAAAAGAGAACATTTTGTTGTATGGCAGAGATAAGGCTCAGTGGACCAGCAATGTGCATCCACCATAACCAAGTAACTAGTCCTATGTCAGCCTCCCTATCTCCCCTCCCCCATCTCTAGGCCAGTAATAAAATACTACCTATCAATGAGCAGTCCCTAAAGCAAAGCAAACAAGGGAAATACAGTGACTTGGAATTTGGAAGAAACACCTGGATAACTCATTAATGAGAACTGTTTTAAAAGAAACTTAGTAAAGCTAATGCGGAACTTAACAGCTGTTGGATCGATACATTAGTATGACAGAGACTGCACCCTGCATTATACTATTTGAAAAAGTAGCAGACTAAATTCAATTAGAAACATGTACATTGATCAATGACACGAAATAATCTCAAGTACAAATAAGGCAAAGAGAACAAGCAAATCAAGTGGCACAGGTAATAGCATAGCAGCAGATTTAATTAAATGCAGCAAATACAGTAGATACTTTAAGGACCTTCCAAGGCTATCCGGAGCACAAATTATTATTAAAGGGACCAAGAAGGATCTGTTTTGTTGTTTTCATTCATAAAATATTTTAACTCTTCTAAAAAATATGTGAGATAATATTACAAATAATCAGATTTAACAAATGAATCCACTACCCAGATTTAACAAATGTTAGCATTTGCCATTTTGCTTCAGATGTTTTAACAACGAACCCCAGATAAGTGCTCTACCACTTTCAGTTACACATCCAGCTCAAAAATTTTGTTTTACACAAAACTGTTATAAATTACAGGGCAGGCAGGATTAAGAAGAAAAAGTTGCTGGGTGCTAGTGGCTCACACTATAATCCTAGCTACTCAGGAGACTTGAGATCTGAGGATCACAGTTTGAAGCCAGACCAGGCAATAAAGTCTGTGAGACACTTATCTCCATATAAACTACTCAGAAAAGATTGGAAGTAGCACTGTGGCTTAAATGGTAGAGTGCTAGCCTTGAGCACAAATAGACTGAGAAACAGCACCCAGGCCCTGAGTTCAAGCCCCAGGACCAGCAAAAAAGAAAAAAAAAGCTGGGTACCAGTGGCTCATGCCTATAATCCTAACTACTCAGGAGGCTGAGATCTGAGGATTGTGGTTTTGAAGCCAGCCCTGGTAGCAAAGTCCATGATACTATTATTTCTAATAAACTATCAAAAAAGCCAAAGCCAAAAGTGGAGCTGTAGCTCAAGTGACAGCATGCTAGCCTTGAGCAAAAAAACTCAAGGACAGCAACCAGGCCCTGAGTTCAAACCCCAGGACCAGCGCGCGTGCACGCACACGCGCACGCGCACACACACACACAACACACAACACACACACACACTACAGAAAGGCTGGAGGGGTTTATTAGCATATCTTATGACAGAGGCAGCAGTACTGTCTTTTCTATAATCTAATCCTATCACAATTTAAAATACAACATGGTGGCCAGGCATGGTGGTATACACATATAGCCCCAGCTATTCCAGACTCTAGGACAGGAAGATTTGCATTTGAATACAGCATGACCCTGTCCTCAGAACAAAAAAGTAAGTGAAAAATGGGCTGGAGGTATAGCTCAAGTAGTAGAGCACTTGCTTAGCATAAACAAGGCCCTGGGTTAAAAAAAAAATCACAAAAATTTCATATCACCAAAAACCTTACTTATCCTTACTTATATAGTGTGTGGTGTGTGTGTGTGTGTGTGTGTGTGTGTGTGTGTGTGTGTGTGTGTGTGTGTGTGTGTGTGTGTGTGTGTGTGTGTGTGTGTGTGTGTGTGTACTTAAAACATGGAGGGTCAGATAAAGAATAAAAGTGAAAAGAATAGAAAATAAAAACTCAAAATGTAATTATTCTTTTAGGGAAAGCTTACCTCATCTGTTCTTCGAAGAACTCCTGTAACAACCTAAAAAAGTTAAAAAAAAATATATAAACAACGTGATATTTTGTTTATCATAAAGGAATTGGATTCAGTTTTCATGGACCATAAACTTATACATTTTCTTCCTAGAAACTATGTTAAATGATATACTGAATCTTAAAACATGCTGTATTTTCAAATAGGATTAGAGCTAAATTGGATTTTATCTTTGACCTAGGATCTATTAAGGCTAAAATAATTACAAAAACCCCATATTATATTAGTAAGGTCATGTGTTATAGAATTTAAGACTAATGTCTGTGTTTTAAGTTCTATATATAAAATGTGACATAGATATTAATTATACAATTCCCTAAGAAGCAGTCAAATAGGAAAAACTACTTTGCTATACTCACTAAAATTTGCAAAAGTAAATGTTTTTTATTGAGGAATACAAAAAGGGGAATACTATTATGAAACTGAAAGATACCTGAAGAAAAATAATTTCTCACAATTCTATCACATTGGGTAATCATTAGCCATTTTTTCACATTTGATATACATGGTATATTTGATATATTCTCCATAATCTTCTTTTAATCAATGCCTATTTTAATGGCTCCAAATATAGTAAATACATAATTCATTTTCTTTCCTTCAAAACATTTTGTCAAGTAAGGGCTGAAACCTCCCTCATCTTAAAGAGGTCTATTTCCTTCTTTGTAGTTATGCTATAAGAACTCTTCACACTTCATTAAAAAGCCATAAAAACAATTACAAGTTCATTATCAAAGCCTTTTTCTAAAAGAAGCTTAGGAAGGCTCACACAAGTGCCAAGTCAAACAGGACAGCATTGTCTGCTATTAGCTTCTGACCCCCACATACACAGGAAGCTACCAAATGGAGATGAAAGGCAATCAGAAATGAGGTGTGGGTATGAAGAGTACAGGATGGGCTAATGAGCATCAGGCAAAATCCCCTCCATTGGACTCTCCAGGGACTTCTGGTATGTAAAGACTGCACTGGCCTATTATGGGGATGAAAGAACAATTGCAGGACAAAACACGCTCTTTGCTGGGTGAACGCAAACAGTAAGAGTATATCACTTTTTTAAATTAGCAAACCTTTAGCCAGGTGCTGGTGGCTCATGCCTCTAATCCTAGCCTCCTCTCTGGAGGCTGAGATCTGAGGATCATGGTTCTAAGCCAGCCCAGGCAGGAAATCCTATGAGACTTTTATCTCCAATTAAGCACCATTAAACCAGAAGTGGTGCTGTGGCTCAAAATGGTAGAATGTTAGCTGTGAGCAAAAGAGACCATGGGCAGTGCCCAGGCCTTGAAAAATTCCATGACCAACAAGAAATGAAAGAAAGAAAGAGAGAGAGAGAGAGAGAAAGAAAGAAAGGAAGGAAGGAAGAAAGAGGAAAGGAAGGAAGGAAGGAAGGAAGGAAGAAAGAAAGAAAGAAAGAAAGAAAGAAAGAAAGAAAGAAAGAAAGAAAGAAAGAAAGAAAGAAAGAAAGAAAGAAAGAAAGGAAGGAAGCAAGAAAGAAAGGAAGGAAGGAAGGAAGGAAGGAAGGAAGGAAGGAAGGAAGGAAGGAAGGAAGAAAGAGGAAAGGAAGAAAGAAAGAAAGAAAAGAGAGAGAGAGAGAGAGAGGGAGGGATGGAGGGAGGGAGAGAGAGAGAAAGAGAAAGAAAGAAAGAGAGAGAGAGAGAGAGAGAGAGAGGGAGGGAGGGCCAGGGAGCTGGGGAGGGAGGGAGGGAGGGAGGAAGGAAGGAAGGGAGGAAAGAAGGAAGGAAGGAAGGAAGGAGGAAAGAAAGAAGGGGAGAGGGATGGAGGGAGGAAGGGAGGGAGGGAAGAAGGGAGGCAGGCAGGCAGACAGATAGACAGGAAGGAAGAAAGGAAGAAAATTAATTTAAAAATTCAAATTAATTTAAAAAGTAAAAAGTAAAAAAGTAAACTTTTATTTTAAAACAAGTTTTATGTTCCCAGCAACATTGAGAAGATGCACAGAGTTCCCACACAGTGCCCTAACCATTACCAACAACCTCCAACCAAGTGGTACATTTGTTATCACTGAAGAGCCTACCATAATACATAATACATTAGCACCCAAATGCCATCATTTACATGTGTTGTGATTTCCACCTGCCATGAGCAAACATTCCTGTTACTCCATAGTCTTACTAATATCTGACATTGTTCATTTTGAGGTTTTCTTTTCTTTTTTCTTTTTCTTTCTTTTTTGAAGTAATGGGGGTTGAATTTCCGTCTTTTGAGCCACTCCTCCAGGCATTTTGCTTGTAATTTGTTTTTCAGACAGGATCTCACTAACTTTGCCTACTGGCGTAGAATCAATCCTTTGGTCCTCTTGTCTCTGCCTCTCAAGTAGCTGGGATAGCATTGGTATTTCACCACGCCCAGCTGGTTTTGACCATTCTAACAGATGTGTAGTGGTATCTCACAAGAATATATAAAACAAAGGCAGCTCCACAGCTGACTGCTTGTCTAGCATATGCAATGCCCAGTGTTTGGTTGCTAGCAATGAAAAAAAAAAAAAGGTGGATATATACATTCTCTTGCAAAGAATCTTTATGTTTTATTCGTAAGGATCTGTCTTCGTTGTTATTGTTTTAAATGTACCATGTGATTTTATTTTTGTTGTTGTTGTTTCCTTTGTATGTTCTTTCTCCTATATGGCATATCCCCTGTTGTCACTGTACTTGATCTTGATACCCTGCATCTTGTAAATACATATGTCTAATCTGGGGAGGGGAAAGGGAATAACAAAATGCTGAAACAAGGACACAGGATGGCCCATTGCAACAAGGATACCCACAGGACAGTATATTGGAAACAAACTTTACAACTTCAGGCGGTTTTTAAATTAATTTTAAGTTTTTTTTTTTTTAATTTTTTTTGGTCTGGTCGTAGGGCCTGAGCTCTTCAGCTCAAGGCTAGTGCTCTACCATCTGAGCCACAGCGCCACTTCCGGCTTTTTTCTTTCTGCTTATGTGGTGCTGAGGAATCGAACCCAGGGCCTCATGCATGCAAGGCAAGCGCTCTACCACTGAACCACCTTCCCAGCCCCTTAATTTTAAGTTTTTAAATTAATTTTCTTCCTTTCTTCCTTCCTGTCTGTCTGCCTGCCTGTCTCCTTTCCTTCCTCCCTCCCTCCATTCCTCTCCCCTTCTTTCTTCCCTCCTTCTTTCCTTCCTTCCTTCCTTCCTTCCTTCTTTCCTTCCTTCCTTCCTTCCTCCCTCCCTCTCTCCCTCCTTCACCCTCTCTCTCTCTCCCTTCCTTCCTTTCTTTCTTTCCTTCTTTCCTTTTTTCCTTCTTTCATTTCTTGTTGGTAATGGAATTTTTCAAGGCCTGGGCACTGCCTGTGGGCTCTTTTGCTCACAGCTAACATTCTACCACTTTGAGCCACAGCACCACTTCTGGTTTTCTGGTGCTTAATTGGAGATAAAAGTCTCATGGGATTTCCTGCCTGGGCTGGCTTAGAACCATGCTCCTCAGATCTCAGCCTCCAGAGAGGAGTGTGGGAGGTGGGGGAGGAAGGGATGGTGGAACAACACACGGAAGGGAGGGGTAACAATGATCAACAAGTCATGTACTCATCGCCTTACTCATGTAACTGTCACCCCTCTGTACATCTTAACAATAAAATTTTAAAAAATTGTAAAAAAGAAAAGGAAATATTTCTCATAATTGAAACTAAGGATCCTTTACAAACAGAACTATTTTATAGAAGTTTTCCAAGTGTAACAGCTTATCCTACCCACCACCATTTGTCTTCTGTTTTATCAAGTAAGTTTAATAATAAACTCTTGTGTTGAATAGAGGGTTTTACAAAAACAAATAAAATAGAAGCCCCTATAAAATGTTAGTTACACTAGTTTAAAACATTTGTCCTAAAAAAAAAAAAAAGAACTATAAGGAAAATAATTTCCAGCTGGGCGCTGGTGGCTCACGCCTGTAATCCTAGCTACTCAGGAGGCTGAGATCTGAGGATTGCAGTTCAAAGTCAGCCCAGGCAAGAAAGTCTGTGAAACTCTTATCTCCAATAAACCACCAGAAAACCAGAAGTGGCGCTGTAGCTCAAGTGGTAGAGCACTAACCTTGAGCTGAAGAGCTGAGGGACAGTCCCAGAGTTCAAGCCTCATGATCCACAAAAAAAAAAAGAAAAAAAGAAAAAACAAATTTCCTTAAATGATAAGTACTTACATCATTGTTCTGAAACTTAACGTCTTTTTTTCTTGCTTTCAAAGTAGCCTCAAAGAGAAAAAGTCATACCTCCTGCAGCGTCCCATCTCCTCCAGCAACAATGATCACATCTGTGCTTTCCATCAGTTCCAGCAGTTTCTTAGCTTGTCCCTCATAATCTGTCTGAAATACAGAGGAAGCCTTTGGTAAATCTGTTATCCTAGGACCACAAAGTCAAAGGTTAAAAAGCATGAGGTATTTATTTTCGTTAAGGTTTTACCTGGACTCTCTCAACTTTTACATAACTGGTGGACATGAAAAAACCCAGCTATCAGAATAATTACGTATAGGTTTTTTTTTTTTTTATCCTTTTATACTGTAGAATCTATTGCATCAGCCTCAGTTACATAGCTTGTTAAGTCAGTGGACCCATTTCTGGTCCAGTGCAGATCCCAATGTATCAGTCACCCATTGCTTTTCATTGGAAGCCAGGAAGTCAAGTGCATATGCAAATGAAGAGAAGCAGATGTTATGAAAGAGCCCAGATTTCAAGGCCCAAGAGACCTAGATCAGTTCCAAACTCTGCCATATATTAACTGAGTGGCTTTAAACTCTCTGGATCTTAATTTCCTATCAATGAAATTGTGTGTGTTAGGGGAGGGGTAAACATAAACTTTGTATTACTGTCACAAACGAACCAGAAAACGCTCATAACTAGTACTATACCAAGTAATAGATTATGTCTTTCTATGATTGTGCATAAAGAAATACAGTAGTGCTTCAAAGTAGTCACAAAGACACTTAAGCTTTATCATTTTTATTGGACACATTTTATCTCAGATACATGCATGTACTTAAATGAACCATTTTAGTCACCAACGACAGGTATACTTCTAAAGCCAAACACTAAATTTAAAAGATACAATGCAACTAACTGAAATTCAAAGTATATTAGATACACTGATAGGCAAAAGTTGGATATCTAAATTTCATGTGTTTCAAGCTCCCATGGCTTATTAAAAAAAAAAAAGTTTGTTTTTGTCCGTCCTAGTTAGTAGGGAGGAATTTTCTAAGCAGGATCTTCTATTCCCACAGATGCCTCCTCAACCACACTAGACTGTGCTATAGAGGGGACCCTTGTTAGGTCTTTTAATTAAAACATATAAGGAATTCTGAAACCTCTATAAGAAAACAGTTGGCATGTGGTACATGTCTGTAATGACAGCTATGCAAGAGGCAATTACAGTGGGATAGAAGAAGTTCAAGTCCAATCTGGACAAAAAGTTAACAAAATTCCAATCTTGGTTATATGCCTGTGATACTAGCTGCACAGGAAGAAGGCAGGGGCAGGGAGATGGCACTCTGAGAACTGGTCTCCTTGTTATTTTATGGATCCAGGAAATAACCAATCTGAAAAATAATGAAAGTGAAAAGGACCAGGGACATGCATGGCTCAAGTATTAGAGTACCTGCCTGTCCAGCAAGGCACTCAGTCCCACCAGAAAGGAAAGAAGAAAACAATCCAACTGAAAGGCAAAGATCTCAACAGACAGACAGTAGGCCTATGGAAAGAGGCTCGACATTATTTGCCTTCATAGACTTGCTCATCATTACACATTTGTTATGTTGACTAAAATACAAAAGGCTGAAAACAGTACATGCTGATGAGGATGTGGACAACACGAACAAGTGCTCAGTCACTACTGGTGGAAACGCAGCATGGCGTGCACACACCACTGTGGAAGTCAGTGGGGGTCAGTGTGGCAACACGCAATAAAACTAAACAAGTGGTGCCGGGAAGATGGCGGAGGAGAAGCTGAAGACTAAACAAGCTCTTGCATAGAAAGCAGTTTTAGTGCTCCAGTGAACAGTCCTAAGCCAGAGAATCACACCAAGTGTGCCATCACAATACAGAGAGTTAGGCTAGATCTTTATATATCACCCTGCACCAGAATCAACTACAAATGGATCAGACCTCGGAGTCAAAGCAGACACTCTGAAAACATTACAGGATGGAATAGGAGAAACGCTAGGTCTCCTTGGCTCCGGCCAAAATTTTCTGAACAGAGACCCGGAAACACAACAAATCAAAGAAAGGTTGGACAAGTGGGATTGCATGAAGTTGCAGAGCTTCTGCATGGCAAAGGACATAGCTAGTAAGATCACTAGAAAGCCCACAGATTGGGAGAAGATCTTCATTAGCCATATAACAGACAAGGGTCTCATATCTAAAATACCTGGAACTCAAAAAATTAAATCCCCCAACAACAAATCCTCAAAGAAACAACTGCCCAATAAATAAGTGGGCTAAAGACTTAAAGAGAAACTTCTCTGAAGAGGAAAGAAGGACAGCCAATAGACACATGAAGAAATGCTCAACCTCCATAGCCATAAAAGAAATGCAAATCAAAACAACATTGAGATACCACCTCACCCCAGTTAGAATGGCAAAAATCAAGAACTCTAATAACAACAGATGTTGGAGGGGATGTGGACAGAAGGGAACCTTACTTCATTGTTGGTGGGAGTGTAAACTTGTTCAACCACTTTGGAAAGCAGTATGGAGGTTCCTCAAAAGACTCCACATAGAGTTCCCCTATGACCCAGCAATCCCACTTTTGGGCATTTACCCAAATGTTCACAAACAAGATCACACTAAAGCTACCAGCACGGTTATGTTTATTGCAGCATTATTTACCATAGCTAAGATATAGAACCAACCCAGATGCCCCTCACTAGATCAAGAAAATGTGGTATATATACACAATGGAATTCTATGCCTCCATCAGAAAGAATGACATTGCCCCATTTATTAGGAAATGGAAAGACTTGAAAAAAATTATATTAAGTGAAGTAAGCCAGGCCCAAAGAAACATAGGTCCCATGGTTTCCCTTATTTGCAATAACTAGTATATGTCTGAGTCAAGCAGAAAAGGTCAGATAAGGTGATGTTAGAGAATTGAACCCTAAGATATGTATTCAAATGTTTTTTTCTTTCATGCAATTGTTTCTAACACATTTATAAGATTATTTCTTTGTTGCTTTGTATGTCCCTCCCCCACGGTATAACCCCTGCTTTCACTGTATTTGATGTTGGTATAATTTGTGGAGGGGAAGGGAAAAGACAAATTGTTTAAATAGGGTTACAGGTGGACCCATTGCAACAATGAGATGTACAAGTCATTACATCTAAAATGAACTTTACAACTTTGGTAGGGGGAGGGGGAGGCAGATTGGGTGTAGGGTTGGGTGAGGATGGGAAGGGATGGGGAGGGGAAACAAAGGAGGAGGCTACAATGCTTGATAAGAAATGTACTCATTATCTTGCCCATGTAATTGTAACCCCTCTGTACAGTATTTTCACAATAAAAAAATAAAAAATAAAACTAAACAAGACTCTTGTCTATTATCAAGCAATAACAATCCTAAGAATTTACCCAAATGAGCTGAAAACTTAGGTCCACACAAATGTTTTAGCAACTTCATTTATTAACTGCCCAAATATAAAGAAACCAAAATGTACCTCAGTGGGTGAATGGATGAACTTCAGGACATCTAAAAATAGGAATGCTATCTAGGGCTGGAAGGTAGCTCAGTGGTAGAGCACTTGCCTTCATGCAAGAGACCCTGGGTTTGATTCCCCAACACCACATAAGCAAAAAGAAAAAAAGCCAGAAGTGGCGCTGTGGCTCAAGTGGTAGAGTGCTAGCTTTGAGCTGAAGAGCTGAGGACAGCACCCAGGCCCAGAGTTCAGGCCCCATGACCGGACCCAAAAAAAAAAAAAAAGAATGCTATATATCACATCACTGAAAAGAAGTGAGCTATTAAGCCATGAAAAGACACTAAGGAACTTGAAACATTGCAATGATAAAAGTCAATAGTCAGCACAGTGCTAAATCAATGATGAGATGCAGAAAGGCTACATATTGTATCGTTCTAACTATGGCATCTCCAAAAGCATATTGTGATGGCATAAAAGAATACTGGAGGAGAAAGGGGTGAATAGTAGAAGGCAGTAAAGTTAATGTAAAAATGTTCTCTCAGAATCCAAGACTTTTGCTTGTGCCTTACACAAGTTAGCAACCCAAATTCATGGTACTTGGGTAACATGAAAAACTTGCTAAGAATGAAATTCAGAGAGTTCCCAGAACTTCCTTGCACTGTGCCCTGAAAAGGACCCAATATTCTCCAAGGAATTTAGCAGAGGCTAAAGCACATGACTTCAACCTAATCATGATGCACAGAACATAAAGCACACTGAAGAACATCCTTTGTGTTCTTTAAAAATTCAAAAGCTGTGAAAGAGATTAAAAAGGTTTGCTGCTTACAGAGGCAGAAGTGTCGAAGTGGTAAAGCACTTGCCTCTCGTGGGGAGGCAGTGGCTTGGTTCCCAGCAATGCAAGTACTACTACTACTACTACTACTAAATAATCCAAAATAGAAAGCTGCCTAATAGATTCGACAACTAAATGTAGCATGTGATCCTGGGCTGGCTACAGACTGGGGGGGGGGGGAGTACTTTTTTCTTTTGCTATAAACATTAGTGCAAGGATGATCTTGCACGGGATAAATTCTGGGTTGAGAACAGTGTTTCACACCAGTCATCTCATGTACCAGTGTAGGTAGGAAGACTGAAGTCTGAAACCAGCTCTAGGCAAAAATATGAAATCCTACCTCGAAAGTACTTAAAGCAAAGACTGGCTGGATGTAGGAGTTCAAACCCAGTACTGCCTATAAATAAATTTCTATAAATTCTGTTGATTTCTATTTTGATAGTTAGTCTACAGTCACTGAAGAAAATTTCCTTCTTTATACAAATATACACTATTTTTGCAAGACACTCTCAAATAATTCAGAAAAATATTAGTAATACATATGTACTATATTCATACACACAACATACATACTTATGCCCGACATAGTAAAATATTAATGGGTAGTGAGTTACGATGGATGTATGAACGTACTCTTTCGGTAATTTTGCTAAGTTTGAAATTATTTCAAAATAAAATTTAATGGAAAAGACAAACATAAACCCTTTAAAGAGCAGCAGTTTCTAGTAAGATGTGAGAAAACATTAATATTTGTATTGACATTAATATTTAAAAGACAAACTTTTAATTTGCTCTTTCTGAGTATGTAATATACTAAGCAGTACTTGAACATAATTAATAAGAATCTTAAATTGAAAAATATAAATATATGAGTCATAGCACACATGAATTGGGCTAGGTGCTAACAACTGATATTATAGAAGTGTTGATTATGCTGTGTGTGAAAATGTTGATGTAGTTACACAGAAAATTATCCTTATTTGTTAATACATATACATTGATGTATCTAGGGATAAAATGAGATGAGATCTATTCTTTATTTCAGGGACCCCCATGTGAAGGTCAAGACCACCCTTTTCCAGCATGCCACCAAAGAGCCCAGATGGACCAATGCAAGAATATTCTGAATAAAGAGTGCTGACCAGAGGATCCCAATCAGAAAGGCAATGGCTGCGCCAGACGGTGACAGGTAACTGCTATAGAAAAAGGCCAAATCTGAGAGAGGGAAATGGGCCTTTAAAATATATTTTTATGTTTTATGTTTTCACATATGTTTTATGTGCCTTTATTAATGATGCAGCTAAAAGAGAATATAAAAATGTGGAGAGCAAAAGAACTGAAAAGTTAATACTGAAAGGGCTGGGCAGGTGATTCAGTAATGGAGTGTATGCCTAGCATGCAGAAAGCCTGGGTTCTAGCCCCAATACTGAAACCAAACAAACAAACAAAACCAAACACAAGTAAATTATTACTAATAGTACTAGACAAAATAAACTATCACAAAAGGCAGAAGTAATGCTGAAGAGAGCCTATGTGACAGGGCCAAAACGCAAGGAAAATGAAATAATTTGAAACTTGAGTCTATCTAGTAACAGTCTCAAAACACAAAACAGAATAAACCAAACTATGTAAGAAAGAGAGAAATCTGGGGCTGGGAAGGTGGCTCAGTGGTAGAGCGCTTGCCTTGCATGCCTGAGGCCCTGGGTTCGATTCCTCAGCACCACATAAGCAAAAAGAAAAAAACCGGAAGTGGCGCTGTGGCTCAAGTGGTAGAACACTAGCCTTGAGCTGAAGAGCTGAGGGACAGCGCCCAGGCCCAGAGTTCAGGCCCCACGACCAGACCCCTCTCCCCAAAAAAAGAGAGAAATCTGCAGTCATAAGGGTTGATTTCTAATAGTCCTGTCTTGATTTATAGTAAGACAAATATAAGTCCTAGACAATGATGATTGCAATGACATCATTAACAGACTTGGCTTAATGGATAAAAATAGATCAGAGTGGGGCTGGGAAGGTGGCTCAGTGGTAGAGTGCTTGCCTTGCATGCCTGAGGCCCTGAGTTCGATTCCTCAGCACCACATAAGCAGGAAAAAAAAAAAGCCGGAAGTGGTGCTGTGGCTCAAGTGGTAGAGCGCTAGCCTTGAGCTGAAGAGCTGAGGGACAGCGCCCAGGCCCAGAGTTCAGGCCCACGACCGGACCCAAAAAAAAAAAAAATAGATCATAGTGCCCAACAATTGACATGTTTTTAGGCAAACATGGAACATTTATAAAAACTCCATTCTAGACTATAAGACAAATCTCAATAAATGTTAAGATAGTGGAGTTATATAGACTATATTTATTTTACCAAGATGCAATCAAATTAAAAAATCATTAATAAAAGAAGCTGGGAACATTAAGACCACACAGTTGGTAAGCATAAAGTCTGAGAGCGAACCCTAATACTATAAAAAATATACAAAAAAAAATCCACAAAAACTTTAGATTTGGAAATTTAGACTTGTCGAAATAACTCCCAAATCAAGCAAAAATCATAATGGAAATTAGGAAATACTGAGAAATTAATGTAATGGAAATATTGTATGTTAAAAGTTATAAGAGTAAGCCGGGCACTGGTGGCTCATGCCTGTGCTGAGATCTAAGGATCTCGGGTCAAAGCCAGCAGAGCAGGAAAAGTCCATGAGACTCTTTATCTCCAATAAACTACTCGAAAACTGGAAGTGGCACTGTGGCTCAAGCAGTAGAGTGCTAGCCTTGAGCTGAAGAGCTGAGGGACAGCGCCCAGGTCCAGAGTTCAAGCCCTATGACTAACAACAACAACAACAACAAAAGTTATAGGAGTAAACATATGTTACATGTTAAAAGTTATAGTAAGTTGGAAGTTAAAAGTTACAGGGCTTAGCTGAAGCAGTGAAGTAGAATTCATACACACTGTGAAATACATAGTGTGAAAAGAAGGTAGATTTTAATGGAATAGGCATCAAACTAAAATTCAGAGCAGAAAAATGTCAAATGAAGGAAATACTAAGAACAGAGTAGAAATAAATATAATGAACATGCAAATGAGAAGATCGATAAGTAATCCTGGATGGACCTCTTGAGTTAGCAAGCTTCTTAGAAGACTATTGAGAGGAAACCAGAGAAAGGGCACAAATACTCCATAAGAAGAATGAAGCCTGGAATTTGAAAGTTGAAAAGAAGGTAACTATGAGCATCTTGATGTCAACTACTTGGAAAACCTAGATAAAATAAACACATGTGCCAGGCATGGTGGCTCACATCTGCTATAATCCTTATTATTCAGGAGACTGAGACCTGAGGATCCTGTTTCAAATCGAGTAAGTCTGATATATTCATCTCCAATTAACCACCAAAAAACTGCAAAAAAAACCTTAGGGACAGCACCCAGGCCCTGAGTCCAAGCCCTAGAACCTAATACACAAAAAAAATACTTCCCTCTATCAATTACTCAGGAAATAAGTAAATAATATTAGTATTACATAGCCATTCCAAGACCCTTCTCTCATCCTAGAACTTGTTATACTGCAAGTACTGCAATAAATGTATTATCTCCCTATCTACTATCCCTAGAGGCAGAACATTGGAAAATGCTAGCTCAGACAAGTTAGAATACAGGGCTCAACACTGCATGGCAAATTACACTAAATGACCTGTAAGCTCTGTACAATTCAGAAATAAGTGTACAATTCAAAAGTAAGTTAACCATAGACTTGCAAACACTTTCAAGATGGTTTTCACTGAATACAAACATGGGTCATCTTCTGTAACACAACAATCCCTTTTTTTTTTTTTTTGTTATTTTCACTTCAAAGCTAAATCTCACCAATTATAAAGATTTACTGTTTCCAATTCCTCACCACAGATAATCATTGCCAGGAAGAAAAATGTTTATCTGTTTGTGGAACTACCAAGAAATTAAACTGCTCCAAGTTGAGGGTCTTGTGTTTTTAGGGAGAATTGGGACAACTCCAGCAGCTGCAACAGAAGTAGATAGTTCTACCTCAGATCAGACGAAAGATTTCCAGGTTGTCACACACGTCTAGATCTTGTTTTGAAAATGAAAAGCTGACACTAACAGGAAAAAAACCAAACAGCTTTCATTATCAGAACAAAACAACACTGATTTCTTTGCACTTGTCTTCTTTGTGACAAGCGATTTCTGCTAAGAGCAGAGGATACTTAGAAGGGGGAGAAGTTTAGATACAATAAATCCTCCAGAGCCACTCTCACCTTAATGACAGTCACATCCATGCCAGACAAATGTAAAATAGGGGCAGCATTCTTCTCAAACAGAGTTCTGGCTTTGCTGTGGAGAAAGGGAAAAAAATACATATATAATTACTTTAGTATACGTTTCCAAGAAGAATGAAGAAAAACAACCACCTTTTTCGGAGTTGAGTAAGACAAACTATGGAATCGGAGTTTCTTTTATATATGTTCAAGTACAGGAAGCTTAGCCCTGAGGAATGAGATACTACCAAGAGTTCTCACCCTACAGCCAGTTCTCACCCAGGTGGGATGATTACAGCTCACACTCGGGGCAGCATTATGGCTTGATTCACAGCCACCCATTTACTGAGTGACAGACACAGGTGTAGCTGGGCTCACAACATGACAGTGCAGACAGGAATAGGTATCCCTGTGGTTTATTCACAGTCTACTGTAACATTATGCATATGGCCCAAGGGATAGAACAAATAAAACAGAATATTACTTAATTCTAAGCCAGTGAACTCGATCTTTTGGATAAGAAATATGCCTTTTTTCATTTCTTTTTTTTTTTCTTTTTTAAAATCAGTCATGGGGCTTGAACTATGGGCCTGAGCACTGTCCTTCAGCTCTTCAGCTCAAGGCGAGCACTCTACCACTTGAGCAACAGTGCCACTTTTGATTTTCTGGTTGTATATTGGAGATAAGAGTCTCATGGACTTTCCTGCCAGGGCTGGCTTTGAACCGTGAGGATTACACCATGAGCCACCAGCGCCTGACTACCATTTTTAACTACTTCAAAAGCTACATCTTTTTTTTTTTTTTTTCCTTTTTGGCAGTATTGAGGTTTGAGTTCAGGCCTTACACCTGCTGAGCAGATACGCTACTACCTGAATCATGCCTCTAGCCCTTTTTTGCATTGGTTTATTTCAGGGTGGGGTGTCTCTTTAGGCTCAGGCAGGGCTGGACTGTGATCTCGTACTTTTGCTTCCCTGTTTTGCAGGCACCCCTGTACCCAGCCACTGTGCTACCCCCACATCCCCCATAAATGGAATAACAGGCATATGCCATCTTGCCCAACCATTTGCTGCCCAGGCTGTCCTCAGATTCTGACTCCCCAGTCTCTGCTTCTCAAGTAGCTAGAAATACAAGCTTAAGCCATCTCGCCCAGTTGATCTCCACATCTTGAGTGCACCAGGGGACAAAGCAGAATTTTTCTCCATGATGCAGGAAAGGAAAGTTCAAAATGATCCGGTGTAACTATAGGTTAATTAATCAAAGCTAATTGTGCCTTTCTCTGTGTTCCAGGTCTTGACATGGCCCTCCAAAGCAACGTGCAGTGTGGGGTGATTAGATTTCCAATACTATCTTCAGAACAGAAACTTTGAAAAACCAAACACCAGACCTTACTCGTTCTTGTATCTCCTAGCTTCTAGAATTATTTATGGAATACTTCAGAGGTACTGATAAATATCTGATATGTATCTGATAAACTAAAACACAAATGAGTAAATAAGCTTGTTTTCAACATTAAGGAGATGGCTAGATTGGAATATCCGGCAATCAATCATTGAATGGCCTTTCAGGGGGTTTGGGCATTTCAAAAATATCACAAACATCCTTCTGACAATAAACTCTTCTCCAATTTAGGTCAAAATTCAAAAAACAATCTAGAACTGAAGGGATACTAAAGTTACAAAAAATCTCTCCACAAATGGCATAGTGTCAAAATCAAATAAATGCTAAAAACATACTAATTAGTTGATCTGTCTTTTACTTGAAACACTTACCTGAAACTATTACCTGAGTACTTCCAATCAATGTTAAATGCCTAACTTTTACATCCATATTCACTCAATCTTCTTCCTAAGAAACCTTTTCTCCAAATAAATAATTTGCATGTTTTGACTTTCTTAGGGATATTTTATACTAAAAAGAAACAGAAACATAGCTAATGCGGAGTTCTCATAATTACACAAAGACCAAATTTAATATGCTCAAAACTGAAAATATATAACCACACAGAGCACAAAAAATATATAGCACACAGAACACAAAACATTTCTCACTATGAACAAAAACCCACAGTGAGAAAAATCTTCACACCGGGCACTGGTGGCTCACGCCTGTAATCCTAGCTACTCAAGAGGCTGAGATCTGAGGATCGCGGTTCAAAGCCAGCCCGGGCAAGAAAGTCTGTGAAACTCTTATCTCCAGTAAACCACCAGAAAACTGGAAGTGGCGCTGTAGCTCAAGTGGTAGAGTGCTGGCCTTGAGCTGAAGAGCTGAGGGTCAGTGCTCAGGCCCAGAATTCAAGCCTCATGACTGACAAAAAAAAAATCTTCACAAGAACCTTCAAAGGCCTACATGAGCATGTTATAAGCAAATTAAACACACCCTACATTTTCCACGGCCTGAATAATAAGTAAAGTACGGGAAGGGCGACAGTTAGGCTGCCTTTCCTGCTCGCCATTTCTGGGCACGTAACCTAACAATAATGGGTTGAGCAGGCCATACTTGAACAATCCTCCTTTCAGGGTTGCTTTCGATGCCGGAATGATAGGAACAGACATTGGAAAATGGATCAGCTCTATTTCCTAAAAACAAATCTTTGAAGAGGTCATACTCTGCCATATTAATTACAACCAATCTGCAACCTTCTCCAAGTTACTTTTAAAAAAGAAAGATTTCAAAGTTTTGTGCTTATTCATGTCTTTGTGTGATGCCATGGGTTCAGAAAAAAAATCTCCAAAAATAAGGGTGATACCTTTCCCTTCTAACATTCTATAAAAGGATTGAGGAGCAAGTGTTGCCAGTAAGAAATACATTATTTATTATATAATTAAGAGTGCAACAACACCAGGGCTAAATAAAAACTTTATGTACTTATAGCAATTTCCAGGCTCAGGCACACACAAAATAATTACTCTTTAATGTATTATTTATTCATGCTAAACACACAGTTATCTTATTTCGTAGAGCTCTTTTGAAGTTTTAAACTAGTACTGCATAATGAAATAGCTAGATGTTAAATTATAAATTACATGTCAAGGCAGAGCATGAAGACAAAAATAGTGCGATTAAATAGTGAAATCTTTAAAATAAAGAAGTTGCTGGGAGTTTCAGAGTGGCCATGTGCTAGATGCACACACAATTCACCTTGCTGAAGGAGACAACGCGTGCAGGGAAGGAAGACTGCACCTGGCGGCAGATCCCTCGCCTGCCTTCAGACAAAGACAGGCATTATTACTACACTTGTCCACAAGAACACACAGCTAAAAATGGAAACCCATTTACATGTCAAAATAAGCAGAATCTAAAACTGCTCTGAAAAAAAATCCACTTATTGATTTTTTTTAAAAAAATCCATGCTCCAACGTGTTTGGTATGTGTGAGGTCCTGGGATGACACCCCAACACCAAAAAGATAAAGATAAAAATGACATACCGCTCAGAAGGAGAAACTCATGGTAACGGAATATATCTTAAGCAAACGGCCAAAATGACCAAATTAGGAACTTACTAGATCTCTGAAGGAATAACGCACAGAACCTCTAGGTGAAAGTAGGGTCCAGTAAGGTGCAGGAGAGGTGCAGGGGCTCTTGGGAAGTGGGGCAGAGCAAATTGCACCGCCCTGGCCTGGCTCTTGCCAGCACTAATAACAGCAACAGCCAGCTTTCTATGACGCAGAAACAGTGCTTTAGGATTCCCCAGGCATTAGCTCACTTAAATTTGACAGACACTCTATATGGCTATTTGTTAAGGTATGTAATAGTACTTTGAGTCTGCACCTGAGTAAACTGGACTTGTAAGTCCTCCTCCAGAGTTAGTGAGGAGCAATCAAAAAACCCACGCTGTTCTCTTGTAACTAGGTGCCTTACTCATTTTGGCTGTATTGTGTTGGTTGGTATTGTTTAGTTCTGGAATGAAACAAGAAGGATCAATAGGCCTGAATTGTAAGTCATCACAATTGGAGTGTTTGCAGGGTAAATAGCAAAGTCCAGAGAGTGTGATTCACTAGGCAGGGTAACAAGTTCTCCATTTAGACAATGTATTGGTAATTTGGGAAGGGGGCAAGAAGTACTAGGATTTGAACTCACAGTCTCATGCCTTGCACTAAGCAGATGCTCTACCACTTGAGTCATGCCCCAGCCCTTTCCACATTATTTTTTTGAATAGGATCTCATGGTTTTGCCTGCGGTGAGCTTCTTGTGATCCTATTTTCCCCCCAGAGCTGGGATGAGAGGCAAACCATCCCATTCAGCTTTACTGGTTGAGATGAGATCTTGTTAACTTTTGCCCAGACTAGCCTCAAATTGAGATTCTTCTGATTTCCATCTCCCATATTGCTGGGATTAGAGGCATAAGCCACTGTAGTTGGTTCATTTTTAAGAAACAAGGTTTCACTAACTCTTGTCCTAGCTGGCCCTAAACTGTGAAACTCCTGTTTCCACCTCCCTAAGGAATTTAGGGATTAACCACTGTACCTGATCCTGTGCTTAAAACGCTTTTCTTTTTCTTTTTTTTTGTCAGTCATGGGGCTTGAACTCTGGGCTTGAGCGCTGTCCCTGTGCTCTTCAGCTCAAGGCAAGCGCTCTACCGCTTGAGCCACAGTGCCACTTCCAGTTTTCTAGTGGTTTATTGGAAATAAGAGTCTCATGGACTTTCCTGCCCAGGCTGGCTTTGAACCACGATCCTCAGATCTCAGCATCCTGAGTAGCTAAGATTATAGGCATGAGTCACCATCACCCAGCTCTGTGCTTAAAACTCTTAAACTGCTCAATTAAAAAGTAATAGGCATAAAGCTGGGCACTGGTAGCTGACACTAGTAATCCTAGCTACTTAGGAGGCTGAGATCTGAGGATCACAGTTGGAAGCCCCAGCAGGCAGGAAAGTCTATGAGACTCTTATCTGCACTATCAAAAAAGCCAGAAATGGAACTATGGCTCAAGTGGTAGAACATCAGCCTTAAGCACAAAAATCAGGGGCAGGGCCCCATGCCCTGAGGTCAAGTCCCAGGACAGGCACAAAATAATTAATAATAATAATAACAATAATGATAATAATAGGCATGATTGTCTTCTTATCTGTGAAGTCACAGAAGAAATGCAGAGAAAAACTGACTGCAGAGCCCTGCTTTTTCTTACTGTAGACAACAGTAACCTACCACCACGAACTGGTCAGGTTATTGTTCCTATCCTGATGACACCCGACGTCCATCTTATGGAATCCAATCTAATACATATTCTTTCCTCACAAAGGCCAAACACACTGGAGTAGCCTTCATTCTATTTTTTAAACATAAATGTCAAATTATTTCCTTCAGAGCCATCCAGGTCTTTACATTTACCCTTCCAACTGAATGAGAGCATCATCTGACATTGTATGACTTTTATTTTTCTTGTCGATGGTTTTTTTTTTAAGTATTTGTTTTTATCAGCAGACGCTGAATTCCCCACATCCACAGCCCTCTCCATTTCAGTGTGCCACCGCTGGATCAATGAACCAATAGACATCATTAGCTATCAAAGTCCTAACTAATTTTTACACTTTGATTTCCCTATCAACCTGACATGACAATTACAGACTGCTCTGTGATGTGACAAGCATAGAACCAGGTCATCCCCATCCCTTGGGAAGAATGTTCTGCCCTCCCGAGTCCACAGTGCCCTTGGCTATCTACAGAGAGGGCCTAAAGGCTTGTGCCACATGGCAGGGCAGTTCTCACAGAGACTGAGTCCAAGCAAATAAGTCTGTTTTATACCAGTTAATTCTGGAGGATTATTATATTTCAACTCAACAGGTTTGCTAAGCATTACCTCACTTTACAGTTATTTCACATTATTATTTCTACATTGTGAACTGACTTTCAGTATTCCCCCCCTTAAAAAATAGAATGTATAATCAATCACAGAGTAATCTACCCTTTGCAAGCTGCAGGATTGAGAAAAACAGTTGCTTTCTTCACTTGTGCATTGGGAGGAATGAGTTGGTTACCGAACACCTAAAAAGAGAAAAAAAAAAGTTTTCAGTAAATGTCCTTTCATTCAGCTAGTGATCACATATAGTCTTTCATTCCAAGAGTTTGCTTCCAGCAGATGAGTGATCTACTCTGCGAAAAATACCTATGTTCATTTGTGATCTAATAACAAAACACCACAAAAAACAATGTACCACTATTCAATATGCAATAAGCTAATCTTGAACCTGTATAAAAATGTTGCTTTACCAGCCAGGCACTGATGGCTCACGCCTAGAATCCTAGCTACTCAGGAGGCTGAGATCTGAGGATCACAGTTCAAAGCCAGCCCAGGCAGGAAAGTCCGTGAGACTCTTATCTCCAATAAACCACCAGAAAACTGGAAGTGGCTCTGTGGCTCAAGCGGTAGAGCGCTCACCTTGAGCTGAAGAGCACAGAGACAGTGCCCAAGCCCAGAGTTCAAGCCCCACGACCGACCAAAAACAAAACAAAACAAAACAAAAATGTTGCTTTACCTACTTGGAATAACTTTCTGTTTCTATATAAAATATGGTAAGGTTTATTACAAACGTAAGCAGTAAGGCTGTCAGAAGAGATATTTAATCCACCCGCCCTTAGTTTCAGCATGCAATCTGATTAAATTTATACTATAACTTAGTCCTGAAGAATCTGGGTTGCCAATTAAATTTCATAGCTTTATACATATAAGATATTAGCCAAACTAGATCGTGTGTCATTCCTGTAATCTTAGCTAATTAAGAGCTGAGGTCCAGGAGATCATGCTTTGAGGCCAGCCAGGTAAGAAGTTCATGCAACCTCATCTCAACCAATAAAAAACTGGATACAGAGGGACATCCTTGCTATTCTAGCTACGGAAGGGAGGGGTGGAGGAAGCAAGACCCTATTTGAAAAATAACAAAAGCAAAAAGGGCCAGGGGCATGGCTCAATTACTGAAGTACCTGCCCAGTGAGCACAAGACTCAAGTTCAAACTCCAGTAGGGCAAGAAGAAATTAACCTAATACTCTATTTGCCTCTCCTCTGCAATGCTGTATCGCAACTAAACAGCAGCAACTAGCATGGGAAGGATGATGTCACTAATAGTAAACACCTGGTATTTGACATTTTTACATACAATGATCCTAGCTCTCGGAAACAATGGAAGTATATTCAGTAATCTCATTTTTACAGATTAGAAAGCCAAGACTCCAAAGGACTAAGTTAGTCAACATTACAGAGTTATTAACTCACAAGCCTAGAAGTGGAGGTATCTGCCTTTAGTAAGAATAGTGGAGGCCAGGTTCATTCCTACTTGATCAGAAAGATTTAGGTTCAAGGCTAGCCAAGGTAAAACATTAGTGAGACAGTAGCTGGGTGTGGTGATCACAAGTATAATGTAAGCTACTTGGGAAGCACAGGTAGAAGGATGGCAGTCCTGACTAGCCCTGAGAGGCAAAAAAATGAGCCCATCTGAAAAATAACCTAAAGTAAGAAGAGGCTGGGATATGGCTCAAATGTAGATTACTTGTTTACCAGGCCCTGAGTTCAAACTCTAGTACTACCACAACACCACCCCCCAACATACAGACACACACACAAGGATGTCTGAGGTGGGAATCACTTCAAATTTAATATTAAAGTTTATTTGATAATTACCTTGATTTGATCATGGTATACTGCATACTTGTATCAAAGTATATTATACCCATACATACAGTGTCAATTTAAAAATAATTTCAAAATTTAAAGTTTATTTTAACTGATTTCTAAAACAACTTGAAGCCATATATTTAAGCAAAACTATAATCAAATTCTTAAAACCCACATTCAGATGGGCTCTAATGGCTTACTCTTGTAAGCCTAGCTACTGAGGAGACTGAGATCTGAGGATCAAGTTTCAAAGCCAATGCAGGCAGAAAAGTCCATGAGATTCTTACCTCCAACTAGCCAGAAGTAGAGCTGTGGCTTAAGTGGCAGAGTACCAGACTTGAGTGAAAAAGTCAAGTAAGAGCATAAAAGGATCAGGAGGCACGCATGCATGCATGCATGCATACACGCATACACACACACACACACACACACACACACACATTCACATTCAGAACATTTTGATAACGTCAACTGAGGAGAAGAACTTACTACTATTATCTTATTCCTGATGCCCAGGAAATCTGTCAGAAACAAGCAGGAGGCTTGCCATCCCTTTGTAAGTGCTTCATTCCTCTGTCATTTGTACCATGGATTTATCATTTTCTTTTGTACTTCTGACATCATAAGCTTAGATGACATATAGGTAAAAAGGCAAATGAGTCATAGCTATCACTTGTCAGGCCAAATGGGGAAGGCAAGACAGTGGTCTTGAATTGGAAAGGATTCAACTGTAATCATGGAGCAGATGAATGGACACTTAAGTAGACTACCACGGAACTGGGGTAATGAATGGGTGGTGTTAAAGAGATGGGCGTAAAGTCAGAATCAACAATTTGAAGATGATTTGACTTTCAGAGTCAATGCTGGCTCTGAACTGATATCCCTAGGGACCATTCAGAGCTGAGCCAGATCTTCAAGGACAACTGCAAACACAGCAAATTCCCAGAGCTTCAGAGGGTTAGTTTGTGTTCTCGGGAGTGATCCAGAAGTAAACAAGCCTAACAGGATAGGCGTTAGAACTGCTCTTCGCCAGATGGTTAACTTCCCCTCACGCAGCTCAGAGTTGGCTCGAAGCCTGATTCATCCCCAGATAGTGGGGAAAAATAGCCAAACTGCACGGAGGCAAGATCCTGTGCATGTCCCAGGAGTACTGTGGGCTTCCTGCTCCGTGGAGATAAGAGGGTTTAATTTTCTTACAGGAAACGGCATTACCTGAGCTTCTTGACAGGCAGCTCTCCTTAGCAGGTTATCGCTATCAAAGCAAACAAAAAAGAAAACCAACATCAGTTTCTATACAGCAGATTAAGACCCAAGCAAATTCTGTGGGATTTGCACCTCTTCCTTATAAATAATCAAGTCAGACCTGATAACAAATCATGGGCACATTTGAAAAATATATCCTCTGAAAGAAACTTTAAATGAAATACTTCTATAGTATCACAGGCAAAACAAAGTTTCTTCCCCAAAATGGCCACCTTCTGACCCCAAGTTCTTGAAGACACATGACTTTACATAGCAAAGAGGCTTCAGAGATGAGATTAAATTTAGGACTTGGAGATCAGACGGCTATTCTGTATTATCTAGATGGATTCACTCTTCCCATGAGGTCCTTAGCACAGAACAGCTTCCCTGCCTGGGGTCAGAGCAGATGGGACTCTGGAAGGTTGTGGAAGAGGCTGAGAGCGTAGGAATGTGGCACAGCTCCCAGGCAGCAGGGAGACAGAGAGGTGGCTTCTCCCCAAGGGCCCCCTCAAGTCTTTGCTGGCATTTTGATTTTAGCCAGGGAGACCTAATCCTCATAAGATAATAAATTCATGATGTGTTAAACCATCAGGCCTGTGGTAATTTACTAGTCAAACACAGAAAACTAATATACACATCCTGAATTTTTCTTTTCAAGGGGAAATCACTGGGACTGTTTTGGCAGAAACAAACTTGTTGTCGAGTTGCTTCTGCTATTTTCTCGAAATCCCTCTTCTTTATATCACCGTCAGACAATCACAAACAGGAAATTTTGTCAAGAGGCAAAATTTTGGCTTCCACAAATGAAAGCATTCCCAGCACCAGATCACCTACTTAGCATAACCGTCTCTAAAATATACCAAGGAGAGCAGCACTGACAGTCCACAGGGCCAGAGCACATGCTGGAGTCTGCACTTGTGCATGCTGCTACGATGAGAACTTCACCTGGTTAACAGCAGGCAAGAAAACCAGTACCCAAGAAGCATGCCCATTAACCAATTTGTAAGAAAGAATTTAAAAGGGGGAAAAGGGTTATTCCCCTTACATTCTTTTCCCTGAACACATTTTATAACATTGGAAACCTTAAATTTTGCATTTGAGTCATTCAAAATCTAATCTGAATATTGAAGACTGAACAAGTCACGAAAATAAAAAATTCCGCAGCTTTTTACCTTAGTTGTAGCCCAAGGCTGCTGGAAGATGCCGTCCACAGCCGGACTATGGAGCACCCCAACGGCCCTGGGCAGCCAGCCTCAGGAAGACAGCACTGTCTCAAGGGAGGCCCTGGTGGCATCAATGTGAACCTGAAGTTATAATGGCATGAGTTCCTCTGAGGCCACTGCTCTCTGATAGCGATCTGGGAGATTTTCCCCTTGTGAGGTGGCGCCCAGGACAAGCTGGTCACCAGGCCCAGGACTCAGCTGCTTATGTGACTCTGAGCTATGGCTATCCAGGTGGCAGCGAGTTGTGCCACCTTCCTGACCCACACCCCAGACTCACAAATCCTTACCCTCTACAATTCTTTCTGCATCCCTCCCTATCAAATACCCATGGCAAGTCATTTAAAAACCAGCAACAACAAGAAAATACCATATGATAAACTAAAATCAGCATATAAAGCTACTCAACTATAAAAATAAGTGACATGTTCACAAGCCTAGATAGTTTACTTACACTTCATATCTATGGCCTTCTAAACCATGAAGAGGTAAAACCCTGAATGCACAGTAACCTCTGGATCACAGAGTAACACGAAGCTCCCGTAGGACCAGGGCCACGGTCACTAGATCTCCACTGGCCTCTCATACCTGTCTCCCCAACAACCTGTGCCCAATGGTGTTTGGTTTGGTTTGGTTTTTCTAATAGGTCATTTCCCATATCTCCAATCTCTTTCCAAAGAACTCATCCTGTAGGTAGGTCCTTTTCAATAAGCCTTCCAGGCCTGTGGAAAGTTACAAACCTGCCTCTCCCTTCCAGTCTATTTCCTCTACTGCTTCCATTTAGGTTCCTCCCTGACTTAGAGGCTGATCTCTGAAGACCCCCTTCCCATAGATAGCCAACTCATTACTTCAAATACTTTGTATAAGATAACCAAAATCACTGGTATAGGATACTAGAATCGTTACTTCAAATACTTAGTACAAGATAATGGCTGTAACAGCCCAAAATGGAGATGTGGCTCAATTGGCAGAGTGCCAGCTTTGAGGGAAAAGGCTAAACAAGAGAGCCAGGTCCTGAGTTCAAGCTCCAGTACCAGCCAAAAAAGAGTTCAGGCGAACAAAGTTCCAGAAAGTTGTTGGTTGTTGAAACAAACTCAACACAAAGACACAAAGTGCTAGGTTTGACACAATGAACAAGAGTTGATCCTGTCTTGAAGTTGAGGACCAAGTAAGTAGTAGAGTCTTGGTAAATATGATGGCATATGTCAGACTAGGAATATGTAATATGCTGGTGGAAAACCCAAGATTCCCTGGCCTCGTGAAGTTTGAAGTTCAGAGGGAAGACGGGTTATGAGGATGCCACACTGTTTGCATGTGAAGCATCAAAGAGGATGCAGCATGTAGCATGTGCTGCATCATTGGGGAGGCAGCCAATATACTGTTGCAATTAGAAAAGGCTTTCACAGGAAGTGACCCTGAAACTAAGAGCCAAGGGAGAAACAGAAAGTAGACCCTAAGCAAAGGAAATGGCCTATTAAAAGCTTGCAAGTGGAAAACAGATGGAACTAGAGATCATCATGTTAAGTAACAAAAACCAGTTTCACAAAGATAAGTATTTCATATGTGGAAAGAATTAGAGGGGAGGGGGGCAGAGTAGAAGGGACTAAGGACCAGTCAGAGGCACAGGTCTGGAATTCCAGGCAGCAATCTCCACTAAATGGCAATGGATGGGGTGAAATGGATAAAGAAAATATACATGAATGGGTGAGGGAGAGAAACAGAAGCAGCTGCAAGACAGGAGATACTCTGAGTACTGGCACAGCTGGCAGAGCATGCCAAGTAAATCTCAAGTAAACTGGCACTGTCTTCCATTTGGAAAGCAAAGAAAAAAAACTGATGGATACTTGAGGAAGAAAATCCAGTTTCCATCTACCATCATTCTTCTTGATGTAAAGCTGGTAAGGTACATGCTCTGCTGTTCCCAATAGCACTTTGAGTTTTATACCTCCAAAGGGTAGATCATTTTTTTCTTTCCCCTTGAGGGAAAAAAAAGCTAAGTACAATACCGCATGTGTCTTTAAACACAATCTTCCAACCACACAAATCCATCTTTTATCTTCCTGTATAGATTATAAATTTCTTTTTTTACTTTTTTTTTGGGGAGCGGGGGTCCGGTCGTGGGGCCTGAACTCTGGGCCTGGGCACTGTCCCTCAGCTCTTCAGCTCAAGGCTAGCACTCTACCACTTGAGCCACAGCGCCACTTCCGGGTTTTTTCTTTTTGCTTATGTGGCGCTGAGGAATCGAACCCAGGGCCTAATTCATGCAAGGCAAGCACTCTACCACTGAGCCACCTTCCCAGCCCAGATTATAAACTTCTTAAAATCATGGATAATTCATAACAGCCCACAGGACAGACACTTGTAGATAGGAGGGAATCAATAACTACTTGTTAATAAGTGGCAAATGGCTGAACAGGAAAAACTGACTGTATTCAGACAGACCAGCTTTGTTCTAGAAAGAAAAGCTAAGGTTAATCTTTTTTCTTTTTTTTTTGGCCAGTCCTTGAACTCAGGACCTGGGCACTGTCTCTGAGATTCTTTTTGCTCTAGACTAGCACTAGTGTGGGAGTCTTTATGAGATAGTACAGCATGAAAAGTCAAACTGCCACTGAAACTCTGCCAGGTCAGGAAGATCTCAGGTCTATGGGTATATATTCATGTGCATTCATATGTGTACATGTGTGTAACAGAATTAGTTCCCTTGAAAAGGGATAGGTGTAGATTCCTTTGCGTGCTACTAGGAAGCACAAGAATTCTTTCAGTGTCTGATTGTCAGAAAACTCCAGATTGCTAATGCGTCAAGAATCCAAACTTGAGCTAAAGACCTTGCTACCAAACAAGGTACCTCTATAAATTGCAAGCCCAGGCTCTTTCCACTAGACCGAGCTGTCTCCAGGGAGCTGAAGTTAAATGCAATTTACAAGAGGTGCTACAAATGTAGTCATATCAGAAAGGGTCCCTGAAGATCTGCTCAGTACCGAAACGCAAATTCTTTGACAGAAAGAAATGAGAAGCCTCTGGATTAGAAAATGAACAAAACCTGCTGATGTCACTGCCTGAGGCTTTAGAGGCATATGAACATGCCCGCCACTACAGGTAATGGGATGCTCTCAATTTATTCCAAGCCATGAATGTTTTATTTATTACTTTAGGACTGCAAAATAAGATAAGTTGCCATTTCAATAACAACTTAACATGGAGAGAAAAATCACATCGATCCAACCTATTTCCCAAAAAGGATACTTCCCACTACAGTCTAGAGGCAAATTGTACAGCGATTTCTACCATGAGCTTTTCCCTTGGTGCATGCAAACACAGTCTTTGCTTTGCAACAAAATAGATTTCAAGTTGAGATGTTTATAACTAGCACTTCAACTTATCTAAGCTTCCTAGAATAATTAATCATCGCATGGCCAGTGGCTGTGCCCAGTGGTTTTCCACAGAGCAGCAGAAAGGGAGTGGAAACACAGCAAATTTATAAATGAATCATAGCAAGGTAGAGGCAAAAGGGGAGATCTGTCTTAAGAATACTCAGCACAACCCTTTCCCCTGCCCTGACTCCACCCAAACAGTGAAGATTGCTGCAGTGGGCTTTTTATCATGGAATTGGTGACCAGCTGTGCCTAAAAGAGACTGGAACTAGGAAGGAAATGCAGCCTGCTGAGAAAGAACAGTCCACCTTTGGTCCTAAAGAACATCCTTTTGGGTAGGAGAAAATGGACAGCTTGACAGAAAACTAAGGGGACAAAGAAAGTGCTAATGGTTTTTTGTTTTGTCACTGTGGGGCTTG